TTCTTAATCACTTCTTTATATTAAGATCTTAAGTACATATTCACATGAGTTTTGGAGGGGATATTTAAACAACTCTGACCATTATATCAGTTATTTCATCTATGAACTTCCTGTGACACCACCCAACTCATTGGTGATACTTGGGGAACACATTTTTAATTGAGGTGTTTGGTATTGAAACTAGGACCTTACACATGCTGTACGGTGAGTTGTAACCTCCACTTCTGGGCAGTTTCTTAGTTATAGTCTTCTGTCTTAGTTGGGGTTTCTATCACTGTAGTAAAACACCATGACCAAAAGCAGCTGGGGAGGAAAGGGTTTATTTCTGCTTATAGCTTGTAGTCATCATCTGGGATAGTCAAGGCAGAGACCTGGAGGCAGGAGCTGATGCAAAGGCCGTGGAAGGGAGCTGCTCACTGGCTTGCTCTCCGTGGCTTGCTCAGCCTGCCTTCTTCTAGAACCCAGGACTCCCAGCTCAAGGGTGGCATTGCCTACAGTGAGTGGGGCCCTCCCATATCAGTTATCAATCAAGAAAATGTACCACAGGCTTGCCCACAGGCCACTCTGGTGGGGGCATTTTCTCACTTGAGGTTCCCTCTTCCTAAATACCTCTAGTTTGTGTCAAGTTGACGTAAAACTGGCCAGAACATCTTCCTTCTGTAATCATTGTGTCTCATTAATGAATACTAATGTGGCTTTTGGAAATGGAGTCTTTGGAGGCAGTTTCTGGTCAACTGGTCCTCATTTCTTCCCTGTGGGCATTCAACCATGAATCTCCCTTTCTCCTCTCCCTTGGCCATTCGGATTGGATTGATCCACTCTTTGACAGCCATTTCTGGGTTTTCCAAACTTGCATGTACATTCATCTACAGAGCTTCAAAACGACTAATCACAGCCAGGCATGGTGATACACATCTTTAATCCCAGCCCACTGCGGGTAGAGGCAGGTGGATCTCTGAGTTGGAGTGCAGCTTGGTCTATACAATGAGTTCCAAGACAGAGCTACATAATGAGACCCCATCACAAAAAAACCAAACAAATACAAAATGAATAAGCACAAAAGCACAGCTTCTAGATTGATTTGGGGTTTGTGGGATAAGCCCTCAAGAATCTGGTTTCTGAGAACTCCCTAGCAGATTGGATGAGTGGTCACTTTGAGTGATACCATTTAGGAATTGTGGCAGTATCTGTAAGTAGGGTCATTACATTGGGTTGTTTTGACTGTGCCCTATGTTTACAGTGAACTTGTACGTCAAAGGGAAACTATGCCTGCCACCCTCCTCTGCCTCCACATGAAATAGTTGTTCGGCTCTATCAGTTGGAGCCTCTTACAGTATAAACATTCTCTCAAGGTAATGTGTGTTAACTTTTTAAAGGAATCAGGGAAGGTTTTGGTTACATTGGGTTGATGCAGGATCTTGCTATAGCCCAGGCTAGCCTGGATTCTTCTGCTTCTATCTCACCAAGTCCAGCTTTTTAGTTAGACTTTAACTAGCAGATTTGTCTGTGAGTTGGATGTGATAGTGTGTCTATAATCTCACTTGGGAGGCTTGCACATCAGAATTGTCCCAAGTGTAAGGCCAACCTGGACTACATTTACAGTTCCAGACCAGCTTGGCCTACAAAGTGAGAACTTGTCTCAAAAACCAAGCAAACAAAAATTGTATGTGTGTTTTGAGCAGCTTCCCACCAGCCTTCACTCAATCCCTCTCCAGCCCCTGTAGGGCCGTATAGGCATGTTTTGAGTTTGTCTAGATTTGGGGCAGAAGTGAGTGGTTTAACAGGCCACTTAGGGAAAGTGGTGAATAGGGATGCAGCAACCATAGCCTTCTGAATTCTACCTTCGATTGAATCTCTCCCCACCCCACCCCACCCCTGCCGCTCCATGAATGAATCTCAGTTGTGTTCAAATTGAGGGGAAGAGAGTCTGACCTAAGAGCCTGTTCTATCCCGGGTCTCTGATTGCTGCCATCCTTCTGTAGACATCTGTGCTGGATGCTGCCTTCCCAAAGGGAACCACGCTGTCTTGAGAGATAGTTATTGCTTTTCAGCCAGAGACATCTTGTTACCCATCTCTTCCCTCATTCTTTAGAGAATATTTGGTCTTAAGGATGTAAATACCATTCATCCTTTTTAAAGAGAATTATTATAATTTCCTGATAGTAAATTTACATTTATGTTCACAACTTCTGAGTTAAGATTCCCAGCACCACGTACAAAGCCAGGAGTGGTGGTGTACATCTGTCCAGAGCAATAGAGAAAGACACTGGCATTGACCTTTGGCTTCCATACACATGCACATACATGTGTATGCACATATAACCATGTGTGCTCATGGGAAATTTTAGTTGACTAGAATGGCATTACAGAATCAATGCAGACCCCACTTTGACCTACAGACTCAGTGCACTGATGAGCTGACTCCAAGATTCACCTAGAAATGCAAGGGACCTACGTAGTCAAACCAATCTTGGGAAAGAACAAAGTTGGACATACACTTCATGACTTCAAAATGTAATGCAAAGCCTGTAGTTCAGATAGTGTGTGTCAGCATAAGATTGGTATATGGTGAATTAAAAGTCCAGAAGAAAGTTGCCATTTCTGACTGGGTCTTGACCAAGTTTCCAAGAGAGTAGTTCTTTCAGTAAATGATCTCGGATAACTTGATATTCACATGCTAATGAATGAATGTAGAGCCATCTCTCTTGTCAAAATTAATAGGCCAAAGACTTAACTATGTGTTAAAATGTGTAGAACTCTTAGAAGACTGACAAGTGTAAATCTTAACAATCTTGAATCACCCAGTCATTTTCTTGATGTGACAGCAACAGCCCAGGCAGCCAAGTTAAAGTGATTTCCTGGGTCTCTTCAGAGCTAAACATTGTTCTTCAGAACTCATTCCAAAAATAGTAAAAAGACACTGGATGGAATGGGGAGAAAGTATCTACTGTCTAGAACACATAAGAGCTTACAGCTCAAAAACAAAACAAGAAAAACACAAACTTTAAGCAGAATTGAATAGACTTTTTTTTCAAAAGCAAAACAAAAAAATTGACTAATAGTTAAAAAATTAAAATGGAAACAAATTATTAGTTATATAGACCAAGGAAAATCTAAGCCACCGTCCACCGTACTGTGCCATTTCATACCTAGTGGGTTGACTGTCACTTCTTATTGCCAGTCTTTCATACACAATGTGGAGAAATTGGACCTACATGTTGCTGGTGGGGTGTATGTAGTGCAGCCACCACCAAGTCTGGGTCTTGAGAGAGGTTTTATAAATGAAGCCAGACACAAATGCCAGCTCCTGACTCCATTTGTGTAGCATGTTCATAGTGGTAAGTCCATAGTGATGTGATGCACATCAGTGACTGCTGTTTGCTGTGCCGGATGCGACCTTCTGAATGTTGACAGACACCGGATCATCTTTACTTTGCTGCTGCTGTTACTGGCAGTGCCATTCAGGAGGAAGAGAGGATGGAATGTAATGGAAAGTCCTTATATCCAAAGCCTTTGGCAACTGGTGTCACCTTCAACTTTTTGTTTTATAAAGTTTTGTTTTCACTGTGTAGCCTAGGCTGGTCTGTGTAGACCAGGCTGGCCTTGAGCACACAGAGATCCACCTGTCTCTGCTTCTGGAGTGCTGGGATTAAAGGTGTGAGTCATCACCTCCGGCGATGTCGGGAGATTCTTACAGAGTACCAGGATTCCTTTTTATTTTAAAAGACAAAGTCTCGTGTAGCCCAGGCTACCTCAGGATCACTATATAGTCAAGGGTAACCTTCAGTTTCTGATCCCACTGCTTCCTTCCACTTCCAAGTGTTGGGATCACAGGTGTGTAACAGCACACCACACCATGCCTGCCTTTACATGGTGCTGGGGATTGAACCCAGGACTTTATATAGCTAGATAGGCTCTCTGTCAGCAGAGATCTTTCCCTAGCCAAGAATGGCTCTGGAGGATTCTCTTAGAGTTGGTGCACATGCCCCAGAAGAGTTCAGGAGTGTTGATTATACAGCCTTATGAATATTCCAGAAGCCATTAAGTTGTATGCTGTAAAAATATAATTTGAAAAAACAAAGTTACCTCAGATTTCCCTGTCCTGTTAGCATTTGAGTTCATGTCAGCAGTTTAAAGAACACTTGCTAAGTGACAGGAACCTCAGCCCTCTAGCTGGCTCCTCCCCCAGCCCTCAAGATGCAGCAAGTGTAGCTTTGTGAGCCTTAGGTCAGGAATGTTTCCCCACCCTGTGGTCTTCCCTCTGATTGCTCCATCTGTTTAGCAGAGAATTTTGGGTGAAAGCAGAGCATGATAATTTGAAATTTCATCAAATGTTATTTGGCAGAGCTGGGCCATTTATGCACATAGTGGACATATTCAGGGTTTGGTTAACATGCAGTATTCTATTCAGTCCTAAGAGACGACAAAATCCACGAAATGGAGGAAGTCTCCCAGGTTAGTCTTTTTGCTCTAAGGAATGAGTGTTGGGCTCCTTTTTAGTGACTGTAGGGAACAAGACAAATTAAACACTGCCCCTAGGTGGCGGCCATTATGGCCTAGTTTAACACCGGATTAGAGAAGCCATTAGGCTTTGTTTTCCTGAAGTGCACGTCACCAAAAAATGCCAGTAAACAGCATGAGGCGAACAATGGCGGCAGACATGGTGCCTGCCGCACAGGCTTCACCTGGCGTCTTACCATATAACCCAGCCTTGAACTTGGCATCCACCTGCCTCAGTCCTCCAAGTGTGTATATGCCACCATACCCTGCATCTTTATAATGCTAATGCTGGGTTTGAAATTCCATGAAAGCAGAAACTTGTCCTCCTGTATGATTCTAGAATCTCTTCCTCATGCCTCACATATCGTAAGTGCATTGTGTTTGTGGTATGAATGCACACTGTAGTGTACCTATTGCTTGTAATAGACCTTTCCGTTTACTGTAGTGTTCTGAGTGAAAACAATGTAATAATCTGTCTCAATGTTTTTGTCTTTCTTTAGGTTGGTATTTTGTATGGCATCTCTTTTTATCTAAATTCAAGTTTCTACGGGAACTGGTGGGAGACACAGGATCCCAGGAAGGAGATCATGAGCCTTCAGGGTCTGAAACGGAAGAGGACCCTTCAGCTTCACCACACAGGATCAGATCTGCTCGTCAGAGGAGGGCGCCCGCTGATGAAGGCCACTGACCAGACACCTGCCATACTAGAATATGGTCTAAGGCAGTTATGAGCCTCTGTCTTTAGTGACCTAGCTTTGAAAGTTACTAAGTGACTGAGGAACATTTGTAATTGGATTTATATCCAGTTCAAAAAAGATTTACATGTAAGCCATATAGAAATAAAGGGAATTTAAATCAAATTGTACCATTACAGATTTCATCTTGGATATTTTGCTTCACTGGGTCTACTTAACACACTTACTCTTTGGCTTATTTTTTTTTGCACTGGTGTAAATCTGTAAACATTTTAGGCTTGAAAAAACATGTTATTAGTCATAAAATGTACCCTTTTCTTGACACTTTGACTTGTCATAAATCGGGGAGCATCTCATTACTGTCAACCAGGTGATGGTCTTGTCATTATTCCAGCTCATGCATGTGTGAATTTGCAGCTTGTTACAATGTCATTACCTCAGCTGATGTGGATATTGTTGGTATCAAATATATCGGGTTTAATTGGCATTTTTACAGTGTCTTCAAAAGGTCCTGTGGCTCGGCATTGAAACAGAAGGTTGTTGTATATGCAGAAAACCGTGCAGACAGCAGTGGAGCGTGTTTGACGTGAACAATGCCAACATTTGCTGCCGGAGAAATGATCCCAATTCTGTATTCCCTTGCAAAGAAACAACAAAATGCTTTCCAGGACTTAAGAAAGGAAGATACCCACAAGTTGATGAAGCTGTGCTGCATTTTGTCAGTGGGGCACTTGCAAAACAGTTGCCTGTCTTCTTCACACCAAGCGATTGCAGACGAAGGCAGGAGAAATTGCCAAAAATCCTCAAATGAGATCTATCACAATTCAAAGCAAGGAGAGACTGGTGTGGCTACTTCATGGAGAGGACTGCCATTAAGACATCAAACGTTTTATCCAAAGCTGCCTGCTGGTATTAGACGGAAGGCAGTGGTAGGCACCCCTTCAGGAAATGCCAAATTGCCAGTACTCTTGACATTCTTGGGAAAATATGCAGATCCCTATGACTAATTTGAAAAATGGTTTGGAAGAAGGGGACTTGGAATGTGAAGTTATAGTTATAACTTAACCAGTTTATTTCACACATTCTTTACATAGGCACAAGATTTATGTGATAAAAATATTTTAGAACAGGAATAAATACAAAATAAAACATTTTTCTGTGATACAAGGCATATGCCATAGCTTAATGGGCAGTGTGTTTTTTCTTAGAGATACATATGGTGCATCTTAACAGTTGATGGTCACCTAGATTAAGTAAAAGTGATAATTTGTAAATTTACTTTTCAAGATAGCAATTATTTATTGGAGAACTTAATTATAAGTCTTACAGTGTTAACAATTATTTTCTATGAAATACTTCTGGGGTAAACCTATTGGGGTTTTAGAGTTGTAGTTAGGAATCTAAGAACTGTCTTCTCCTTTATGGAGAGAGATTGGTCCCCCCCTTTATATGGGGACCGTATGTTCTGGGCTTGTGTTGTGGAGAAAATACTTCAGACCTCAAAGAGTACTAGGGCTTGAAAGAGTAGTGGTGGAAAAAAGTGCTTACCTGTATAAAATTCCTCTTGCCAGGAGTCCATGTTTGTTTTAACTGAACTTTGGACTGTTTACTAGAGAAGAGAGATGGATTCATGAACCTTCTAGTGTCTGCTCTATACAGAAATGAACTGCAAAGCCATGTTACCTTCCTGGTTCTTGTCATTCATGTCTGTGTTTAATCTTGTTTGATACCTCATTCTTCGTCCTGGCAGATTTTGTCTATTCATTGTCTACAGGCACTATCCCAAGTTGAGTCCCTAAAGAACTGTTTGTAGACACCATAGCCCTTTGGGCACATCGTAAGAAAAGTTATAGAGGACAGCCTTCATTTAGACATTTTCTCGGGAAGAGGCCCAACAGCTGAGAGTTGGGTGCAATTGTTCTGTCTTCTTCTGGGGCATAATGTGACCAGAAGGCATAAAGAACAGTGACATTGTTTCTAGCATTGATTTTTAATATTTCTTATATTAACTAAATATCACTAAACGGGTCAAGATATGCCACAAGGCATCTTGGTACCGGGAGGTTGTTTACATTAGATTTTTTTTTTTATAATCTAATGTGAGCTCCAGTTTTGGTTTTTTTGCTTATGTTTTACAGTGGGTATCTAAGGTTTCTATAGCAATAGGAAAACCTTGAAGCTGCAGGTGAGCGCTCTGTTGTGTCAGTATTAAAGAATGGTGGCTGATGTAATCACCCCCCCCAACCTAGAACCAGGCCCAATCTAATCTCTGTAAAGATACATACAGGGCATAATTTATTGGTATTTATGTTTCCAGCATATCCTATAAAACTTTAATAAAAACTGTGCTTGGCTGGAGAAATAATACCGTATGGTATAACAGCTTATACTTGTGTGTTTTAACTTAAGAATGCAAAGACATTTTGGATGCCAGTATGAAGAGTCTTAAGGCACAGTCCTTTGTGTAAAATAGGTTTCATGTATCTCCTTTACCCCACCAGGAGAGAGAGGAGAAACTGTTGCCCCTCCAGGATTCCTGTGTGCTGTGGGCTTCTGTCCCGTTTCCTGTCTTGAGTGCTTTTGTAGCTTTTTTCAACTGTCATACCTGTATTCTCAGGTTCTCAGTGCAAGGGGTGTGCTCACCTTCAAAGTTTAAAGACACAACATACAAACACTCGAGTCTTGCCTGATGACATCATCTCTTTGAGGACTGATTAGAAACTTGAGGACTCAGGTAGATTGTTGCAGTTCCTTTGTAGCCAGCCCTGCCCAAATCTGTAGTTAGCCTCTGAAGGAATGTGTGTGTGTGCCCATATGGTGGCATGGCTCAGATTTAAATGCCAAAACACTAAAGATGTGTATAAGTTAGCTGGGGCGTTAAACCCACATCCGAAGATAGCTTTTGAACTAAATGGCTTCGCACAGTGGAAGTAGATACTTGGTAGCTGTTTCATGGACATGTTGACTGCTTTGTTTAGACTAGACTTAAGAACCATTTCAAAATGGTATTTTGCTAAAAGTTTAGAGTGTGCATGTGCTGACATCTAAAACATGATGGGAAGTAGAACATGTTTCGTGTTAAGAGGAACGATGTTTGAAGTTACTGAGTCCACAGTGCAATGTTTTAAAGTCAGTTTTCCTCAGAAGGTGTCTGACTGTGACTGGTAACCAGTGTAATTGCTGACCTTGACTGGTAAACTAAGTGCTTTTAGTTTTGAAGTTGACTTCTTAAAGCCAATGAGCAGTCCTCAGAGCCCTGAAGAGCTCAGGCGACTGTAGGATGGCGTTGGGTTATAGAGTTTAGAATTAAAGCACCTTGTATTGTCTGCTGTTAAAGTGTCCCAGAGTTTGAAACTTGTAACAAGTTACATTTTTACCCTGTATTAGTAAACTGCATCTCCATTTTTCAGCACACACTCCTTGTTGAGGACTGTCTAGCATTAACCTCCACGCCAGTTCTATGCATAACCATTCACCAAATGCTGCTGCTGTGGTTTCTCACAGGAGCACTTCTGTCCTGTGCTGTGATGCATTGTCATCCTGCTGCTTGACAAATACGTTGTAAGGAATTAGAACTGTGTGTGTTAATAGTACCTTTATATAACAAGATGTAAAATACAGATGAGGGATATGCAAATGAGTGATGTTCCTGTCTTAGGATATCTAAAGCTTCTTGCACAGAATAAATGAAAATGAAAATAAGCAAGTGTATGTCTCATTGATTAAGGATAATGGGTGTGATGGCTACTTTGGACATGAGATTTTTAAAGGCGTTTTTTTTTTCCTTATGGTTCACACTTCAGCACCTCACTTCACCAACTCAAAAAGTCTCAGAACTGGGAGGGATAGCATCTACCATGCTAGGAAATTAATCAGCTCAGAGCCTAAAAGACACATAGCACAGCTCTGTTGGTGTGCTTGATTATACTTAACCTTATACCATCCAACAGCCTCAAAAGCTTGCTGATTTGTTTGCTGTAGACACTTAGCACTGACAACCAGGAAGACCAACGAACTGAATACTGTCAAGTCAGAGGATCCAGGGAGAACCTGTTGGCGGTAGGAAACCATGGATTCTAGTGACTGAGCTGATGTTTTTCTTCAGGGCTCATTTGCCAAGAATATAGGACTGGAAAAGGGACTTTGCCAGGGCTTGGCTTTGTGAGGTCTGTCGGAGATTGCTGGAGATTGGTCTGGGATCTGGGCTGGTTAAGAGAATCAGTTCTGGTGCCAAAGGCTTGGGGGATGGTGGGCAGCATTTAATAGGAGAAATGGAGCAAAATGTTCTGGAGGAGCTATGAGAATGTTCTTACTCCCATCCCCACCACTGTGGTCCAAGAAGCTGGCATAAAGCTGGTGCTGTTTATGAAGGACTTGGCGAGGAGGCACTAGCTACTGTAGTTTTCCAGGTGGTAGGCAGAAAGAGGATTTCAGATGAAAGTGGACATGAGGACCGGTAAAGAGTCCTTGCCTGGGGAGCTGGTGTAGGTAGTTGTTTCTGGAATCGAGGATGTAAATGGTTTGAGGGTAGAGATGTGTGAAAGATCTGGATCACAAAGGGCTTCGCAATGGCAAACAAGCCATATGTGATAGTGTTGACGTATCTCTGATAGCTGCTGCTTGCATATAGTCTAGGCTGACCCCAAGTTGTCATCCTCCTGCCTCAGCCTTGTGCAGGTAACCTTGGGCAACCACAGCAGGCTTGAAATATTTTTAAAATGAGAATACAGATTGACATTCTTAAGATACTGAATGACTATTCTTCCAGGCACCTGGACTGCGTGCAGATGGTTTAGAAACATCACGCTACTTATGAGGACAGATTTGACATAAACAGGATGTCCCTTTCCCTGGCCTGTGCAGAGATATCATGGCCAATTGGACAGGAGTAATAACCATGGGGCCTTTGGAGTTAAAGAATAACATGAGATTGGCTTGTGAAGGCAAGGGGGTGGTGGTGGATGATAATGTCAACATTTTAGGTTTGTACTTGGTAACAGCGCAGTGCATGTAGGAATAGATTTGAGCTTGAGTATTGGAAGGTTCAAGTCTAGTTGAAGGCCCCTAATTGAATTTGGGAGTGCTTTTTGGCACTGCACTTTGGCAGAAATGATGAGCCAATTGTAAAACTAGTATGAAGAATGAGAGTTGTAACTCAGTGGTTAGGGGTATGGGGATACAGTTGAAGCAGTAGGCAAAGGATATGACAATCCCCCTCCCCAGGAAAGAGCTAGAAGTAACCTCTACACAGCACAGCTATGGTTTGACTATTTTTGCCCCTCTGACAGTTTGTTTCAAGAGTAGCCTCCAGTACCACAGTGCTGGGTGATGAGGCCTTTCAGGGAAGGTGTTTGGATCTGGAGGATTCTGCCTTTATGAATGGTTGAGGACACTGTAAAAATGGTGTGAGGGGGCAGGCTTGCTCTCTTTTCTGCTCTTACATCATGTGAGGACAGAGCAAAGAGGCATCATCCTGGAATCAGACATCACTCCATCAATGCCTTGCTCTTGAGCTTTCAGCTTCAGAACTGAGAGAAATAGCTCTTTATAAATTACCCGGGCTAGGGTATTCTGTGATGGCAGCACAGAAACTTACTTTATAAATTTACTTTATAAATTTATAAATTACCTGGGCTAGGGTATTCTGTGATGGCAGCACAGAAACAGGCCCTAAAGAACATTTCACTGTTTCAGACATTGACAAAAAGTCCATTATGGATGCTGAGAAGGACTGACTGATAGATAAACAGGAGCACACTTACGGCAGAGTGATGATGTGCTGGAAGCCAAACAGAATGGGAAGAACAAGGGCTGGAGCTGAGTGATGGTGCGGTCTGACCGTCAGGAATTGGTAACAGGAAGCTGGTGCAGTGGTCCAGGG